TACGGTGGCTATTGTTAGCCTTTTCACTGGAAGACTGCAAAGTTCTTCAAGCCTTGAAAGAAAATCTTCACACTTGTGAATTTGCAGGAAAAACATTTCTAGAGGAAAAAATGTTACTTGCTAGCTGTATCTGGTTAACAAATTGCTTTCCTTTGTCCAATCTTGTGGTGTTCCTGTTTGTGTATGTATGTAGTGAAAGGAGAAAGTCACTGACTGGTCCAATTACTGTGTGCATGCCGGCTAATTTAGTACAGAATGTTTAAATATGTATGTTGGGCAACCAATTAAAGCAAAGATTAACTTCATCAGGCTAACTGCTATATTGTCATTGAAAGCAATCTGTTTTTTCCTTTGTTGCTCAGGACTAGGCTTGCAGCAAAGCTGACTTGCATTTTTCTCTTCTTGCTAATTCATACAAAGAACGGTAGAGTTGAAATCCCAGCTTTGAGGGGGCAGGAAGGTAAGTCCTGGTTCTTGACCTTGTTGTACTGGCCTCATATGGGCATATCTGGTTACAGTAACTCAGCATCTGACATCATACCTGTACAAATGACCAGAATTAGGTCCCCTGGGTTAAGTTTCATCTTCACCTGCACCCAATTTAGGGAAGCTTTTGTTTGTCGCGCAGCTGGCTGCTGCTCTAGTACTGAGTACTAAAGTGCAGAGCCAGCCTAAAGCCTAAGACATCTCTGTACATAACCTATTGACTCTTAAGATGCAATTAATAAGGTGCCATATTTATATACAAGCTACAAATTTGGAATTTTTTGAGGGAATAGATGCTGGACACAGAAAATAGTCAGGTTTTGATCAATCTTTGTCTTTGTACTGCTGAACAGTTCCTAGTAATCTCTGTGGTGAGCTGAACAGTTCCTAGTAATCTCCGTGGTGAGCGTACATGGCTGATGAATCCATTAAGTATCAGTGAGTTACTACTGGGTGTGGCAATCCAGCTGGTTAGGCTTAGAAATGGCTGTCTTATGCTCCCTTATATTAAGTGCAGTTCTGCAGCATGCTTCCCTTCCTTGACAGTCTTACAGACAGACCTGCTTTTCATGTATTTTCTTCTTGTAGAAGTGAGATAGGGCAAACACTTTAAGAATTAAACCAGTAAACACTACTTCCTGTGTCATGTGAAGATGGTTGGGGTTTTTTTAACAGGAGGTTCAGACAAGAAGTCCTTGTCTTTAATAACTGGAAGTTAGCATATGGAGTTAAAGTCCTTCACTGTTCAGGGAAGGGGATGGTGAAGAACCACAGACTTTTGTATTGAGGAAATAAAAGCTCCTTAGAAGGCAGCAACACCTCAACTTGAAACTGTAAGAGTTGTGCATTAGGGAAATACAGTCATTGCCATATTGGCACACTGCATTCTCAGAATTTTTTTTAATAAAATTGTTCCGTTCAGGCTCACTACTTTGGTGTTGCCTTGTATGACAGCTAGCAATTGGACAAGGAAACACTGGGCCTTTTCACTTGCAGAAAGCAAACATGAAGGTGTTTTCTCTTCTGGCCTACCTAATCATCTTCCCATTCACAGTATGCCTCCCATGCTCTCTATTACAGGAACAGCTCCTGTGCCTAGGTGTTCTGAAACTGGAGACAAGGGAAGGAGAAAATAGGCAAGTAAACCCTAAAACTTAGCTTCTCTCTACCTAGCCAGAGTAGGGACTGCAAGGAGCACACTTCATTTCAGAGGTTGTTGTGCTGGATGAAGCCAGGTGAAAGAGCCGTGTGCTTTTGCCAGCTGCCCACAACTGAAGAAAATAGATTTCCCATGAAATCCACTTTTGGAACGAAAGGGTACTTTGAATGAAAATACTCCTAATCAGAGTACACTTAACACCTACCATGTTTAACTTCAAAGCTGCTTCTGTAAGCTGTTGCTTGCTGAGCACTTTGCATCCCAATAGGAGTAGCTGGATATTTGTGAACAAGGGGAGAACAGGGATAAAATGATTGCCCCATCCAGAGGGCAGAAATTAGGATATACCATTTCACACAGCTCTTTTGCACAACTCTGATCTCTAGCCTTTGAGAGTTGGGAAGGGAGGCAAGATGGAAGGAGAGGGTGTTCTTGCTAAAAACATAATATATCTTATTTGCCTGTTTCTTAAGAAAGAAGAAACCACCATTTGCAATTATCTTGTGGGAATTTTATGTCCTTATTTGGAACTGTTTATATGACAGAACTAATAAATTGTTTTGAGCACAGTGATCCAGGTAGTAATTTTCTAATAGTATGTTGCTTTTGCTTCAGCTGTGTAGTACACTTAAAAACCCAAACAAACCAAAAACTGTGCTACAGCAGCATGCTTGAGTGCATTCACTAGTCCTACAGGTTTGAGAAACCAGAGCACCCCTGTGGCCTTAGAACTTCCAGTGGTGTTGAGGGCAGCTGTGGCTCAGTGCAGGGACATAGTGGGATTAACTCCTGCTGGGTGACAGCCAGTGTGATTCTCTGTATCTCCAGGCAATAGCAACTTCAGAAGCTTCAATGGATCTTGAACAACAAGGATCCAGTATGTATGAAACAGCAGTTCACCAATGCTTGCAAATATGCACAGGCTTTCTAGTTTAATCCCTAAACGATGTTGTTTGCTTCTAAAATACCCCTAATCGTAATAAAAACAGGAGTAAAATTTTTTCTCCTTTAGGTATCTTCTGGCAGGTAGTCTAGCATTTAAGTAGTTCTAAAATCCTTATGAAGGTTCTTACTACAGAGCAGTACACAAGTTCCAGAACAAGTGAGAACCAACAATAAGTCACCTTTAATAGTACTATAACAAAACAGTCTTAAAAGCAGTATTAAACTTTTCCAGTTGTTTGAGAAGCAATGTATATGCTGACGCCTGCTTATTAGTGTATTCATGCATATTTATCAAGTAACTGTAATAATGGTGACAGTAAGTATTGGTCAAAGCATCACTAATTTTTTTCTTTTCACATGAAGAACAACAAGGTATCATAATAGGCTAGAAAAGACTAATGATGCTTTCTTAGAGTCCTACAGGTGAAGAGCTTCGTACCCTTACACCATCTCCACACCATGAGCATGCATGTGTGTGGGAGTAGGAGTTAGTTACAGCATAACTGAGCTCTTGCAAGAACAAAGAGAAAAGCAGAGATACATAAAGATGCAGTTACCTGTCTCTTCCAAATACTTTTGTACCTGTGATCTATAATGTTACTACAGCTGCAGGGAATTTATGGCAATTATATAAATAATACCATAACTGTAAATAGCCTGGCTGTTAGCACCAGTGGAACAGCAATGCCCTTATTTAAGCTGGTGAACCCAGGAAAGCTGTAAGAAGGGGAATCGAAGAGTGATTGAGGTTGGAAGGGACCTCTGGAGGTCATCTTGTCCAACCCCCCTACTCAAGCAGGGCCACCTACAGCCAGTTGCACAGGACCATTGTCCAGATGGCTTTTGAATATCTGCAAGGACGGAGACTCCACAACCTCCCTGGGCAACCTGAGCCAGTGCTCGCTCACCCCCACAGTAAGAAAATGTTTCCCGATGTTTCAGTTTGTGCCCACTGCCTCTGGTCCCATCACAGGTACCACTGAAAAGAGCCTGGCTCTGTCTTTACACCCTCCCTTCAGATATTTATGCACATTGAGATCCCTCCTGAGCTTTCTCTTCTCTAGGCTGAACAGTCCCAGCTCGCTCAGCCTTTCCGCACAGGAGAGATGCTCCAGTCCCTTCATCATCTTTGTGGCCCTTCGTTGGACTCCCTCCAGTATGTCCACATCTCTCATGTACTGTGGAGCCCAGAACTGGAACCAGCACTCCAGGTGTGGCCTCACCAGTGCTGAGTAGAGGGGAAGGATCACCTCCCTCGACCAGCTGGCAACACTCCTCCTAATGCAGTGAAATGCACAAGAATAAGGGTAATTTTTGCTGGAAACAGACATCTTATGACCAGAATCTGAACATCTGTGACCTAAAGACCTTACCCCAGGCTGCATATTAAAAGCAGAAGCTCAAGTTTTGTCCACTGCTAGGTTGTTACATTTTTCAACCAACTCTATTCAAGGGAACAACCACCCTGGGGACTGCTTGTTCCATACAGTGTATTTTGGACAATGAATCCTCACTGCTGCTATGGATGAACAACAGTAGCCTGTTTAAAATGTAGGTGTTGGGACTTCTCATCCAAAGGCCTCCTAATTGCTGGGTAAAGACAGTCCGTCACACAAATGGTAAATATCCACTTTGCCAGCAGGAAGAGACAGGACACATGCCCTTACATACATCTTTGTGGCATGTGTATTCACACACACTTTTTTTTTTGCTTAGAGTAGAACAACTTACTTTCCCTCCAGTTTGGAAAAGTTCTGTTGTCTTTGTCAAGTCCATGACCACCCTACCCAGCTGGGCTTCTTCAGACACTATCCTATAAGGATCTGTAATCAATAGGAGGTAGGCTCAACAGCAGCCACAACTCCTTCTCATCTCCTTCCTCTTCATGCTTGATGAGAAAAGGATCGTGGGCCTATCTGTTCATGAAAGTGCCATTCCGCTGCAATCTGAGGATAGGCAGAATAGAAGAAGTGAAGAAACATACAAAGAGACTAAAAGGTATCATGTTAGTTTCTGCTAGTTCATTGAAAAATGTCTGAATAATAACTGGAGAATTTCCAAAATACTTAAAAGTGATGATGGAAGGGAAAAAATTAACTTACAGGCATGTAATGCAAAAAGTATTCTGAGGTAATGTCTGTCAGCATGATAAGAATGAGAATTGTTTAAACACTACAAAGAATTTAAATTTGATCCTGCTTTGCTTAAAAAAATATCCACCTATATACAATAATTTAAAAGCCTCTGCTAACATTCCTGTGTTACGTAGGCCAGTTCAAAAAGTATCATTTTCATCATTTTTCCAGTTTATAGCAATGTCAACACTGTAGCACTTGCAATTCAAATATAATCTCTATCACTGTAATGGGGACCCCTTCTGTTTTCTGTATTAACTTGATGTTCTTTTTTGATACCAATCCAGAGAGCATCAGAAGACTCTTCTCATCTCACATGTGTTCTTAACGGAGGATTTTTAGAGGGATCTGTAAATAGATAGGACAGGTTTAATCAGAGGAGATAGAACCGCATCCAAAAAACGTATCTATCTACAGGAGGGATGCTGCATTTTTCTCCTGCCCTTGACCTGAGATATGTATATTGCTCATGCTCTGTAGCCCTTCAGTAAAAAGTCTTTGATCAGATCGTATAGCAGACAATTTAGACTGACTGAGGCTGCTATGAAAAGTCATGCAAAGTACCATGGCATGGAAATGAAAAAAAAAAAAAACTTAAAAGTTGGAGATACACAGTTGATCTAATAATACAGAAAAGACTGGGGTTTATAAAAAGCAGAATATGGGCATGAGATCTTTTAGCATCTTCAACTACCAGTTTTCAAAGCTGGACAGGTAAACTTCTGCTCTTATAATCATGACCTGATACCAAGTTTGTAAGTTAAGGGCCGGGGGGGAAGCAAGGTTCAGTCATTCATTACTTTTTCCTGACAAAGTTCAGGTTCCAAGTTCCTTTGTTCAGGTGTGTAAAACACCATGCATAGGATTTAAATCAAAACACATGATGGAAGACAGGGATCAAGTCACCTTTCTTCTGTGACTTCAGAAGTTCATGAACAAAAAAACCCAACTTGGTAGCTGCCTAAGTCTGTGTCTCATCACTGTTTTTAACATCAAGGGCTCTGCAAATTCAACAATCTAAAGAACACAGACTGCATGTCAAGCCACATAATTTTATTTTTAGCTACTAATACTTTAAAGCACTTAATTAAGTGCTTTTCATTGTATCTTTGGTCCCTGTTACCACTATAACAAATCCCATTCCTCTCTGTGCCTATGCTAGCAGCCCAGTTCTTCACATTAATGCAGGTTTCTGTTCTTTATTTTTACTCCCTGTTTTTAATCCTATTGGATAATTATCAGACCTTCTCATGTCGACACACTTACCTCTAGCTATCTTGCTGGGATATATTTTCCGAAATGGCTTGAATTCATCAGGTGGGGGGAAGTCCTCCACAGAATGGAAAGTAAATTTAGATTCGAAGTCATCTGGGAAGTTTCCGGGAAATAAACATCAGTCACTGTTAGAGAGATACTTAAAAAAATTGCCACAAGTAATTTCGATTAAAAATGCTGACTCGTTTTTCCCTGGAACTGATAGTGGCTCACTCCATATAAACAATCTTGATGAGTACTTTTGTGAGCCATCCAAGTTTTCTGGCTTAATTGCAAACACTGCCTGGTACTGACTGAAGTTAAGCTTCTGGCTGCCATTCCACTTATCTATCTGCCTTGATGATATTGTGGTAGTAGAGGTATTCCTAGATGGTTTTCAAGCCATTTTTACCTATAAGCAAGAATGAATGGCCAGCTCATCAGACCACAAAAATAATTCTTAGCAGTCTTTGGTCTATAGGATTGAAGCTACTAAATGTCCATGAACTGGTTTTAAGAATAGTAATATAAGCACACTACAGCAACTTTTCACAATCTTAAATAATTTTGCAGGTAGTGCATGCTTTTCTTGTCTACTTGATGATTCAAAACCTTTGTGAAAAAGCGTTAATTTTCTCCCATTGTATAAGGTTGTACAAAAGTGTTTCTAATGGGTCTAGTTACACTACCCTGTTATTGCCATGAGAAAGTCTCGAATGAGTTTTTGAGGTCTGAGACACACACAGGCTTTTGTACTAAAATCATTAACTAAGGCTAAGAGATCTAATTTAGATGATACTACCGATGATGTGCATGTTTCCATTTTTAAGTGGTGGGTAGGGGTCATAAGCTGTAGCCCAGGCTGAGATTCCAGACCTGCTCGTAAGTTCAGTTGTTGGTGATCTTGCTGGTGGCTGTGGAGGAGTGACTAGCTTCCCAGCACCGGTTCCTTAAAAAGAAGCAGCAGACCAGCACATAAACATCATCATGACTTAAGAAAACCGACAGTAAGCTTTGCACAAAAGTGGAGGGAGTGTAGAAGGAATGCAGTATTTGGGGCAAACTTACCCAGCTGTTGTAGGGTACTTCATAGCTGCTGTTTCTCAAGCCTGACCATGGATTTATAGCATTAAGCATTAAATTTAAGTCACTATTGGAGTTGGCTGGGGCTTGCTATTTCTAGTTCTAGGGAAAGTCTGACATTCTGAAGTAGTTGTGTCCCAGTCTAGAGGGGAAGTCTATCCTTCCACTTTCACAAGAACAAGCAGCTTCTTTAAAAAAAAACCAAAAAAACCCCCCAAAAAAAACCCAAAAGAGACACCCCACCCCCCAACCACACTAGATGGTATCTCTAAAAGAAAACAGTTTCCTGACACTTCGGCAGCTACACAGTGGAATTACCATTATTCTTGTGCATTTCACTGAGGAGTTGCAAGAGCAGTCAAAGTTTACATCTTCTGGGCAGACCTACCAAAGGAAGGGGGAGGGAGCCCAAGGCCTCCAAGTTAGCAGCCTCTCAGAACTGCTTCTCCCCCTAGATAACCAAGAGAAAGGCAGGCTAATTTTACAGAAACCTCAGAAGTTGAACTGCTGTGAGAAACAGGCATCTCAGTAAAGTAACAGTTCACCAGACAGTTCCTGAGCAGCATTAATCACCTGACCTGCTGTACTTACACAGCCTTTCCCATGGCTGTCAAAGGGAACCAGTAATCTTTCTCTTGACATGTGGCTGCTAAAATACAGGGTACAGAACATTCTCTTCAGATGTTCCTTATTAAGTCGCTGTCTCCATTTCTCAAACCCGCACAGATCTAGGCTTTTTTTTTAATTTATTATTCATTAGATCAGAGAAGTCTGATCAAAGTTCCTTCTACCATCTGCTCAAGGAAACACTAGCCAATACCACCACTTCTCAAGTAGTCAGAGAAGCCTTTGGCCCTACCACCTTGATCACAGGAGGCACGGGCTGCTGCTCTGTTGAAAAGCAGAGGGCTGCATTCGTATTTGCCTTTGCTCATCTATGGCTGTAGCTACACCATCTTTGTTTTATTCTCTCCTGTAAAGTTTCCCAGCCATTGCCAATATTATTCCAGGCTGCACGGGTACAGCAGTAGAGGGATGTCATGAGTAGGCTGGCACTCGAGCAGCTGCAGATCTGGCAGACTCCGCTGCCCTACCTGAGACTGTTAGGAGACCGCTCCTGAGCTCAGTCATTGCACTGCTGGACACGAATGCCAACACAAAAGCAAGCAGCCCAGCAGTCCTAAAACGTTGCTTTCGCTGATCAGCATGTTGCTTCCAAGAATCACAGATTAAACTATATGGTGTGCGTGCCCAGTGCTAAGCAGAGCCTGACGTCTCGCATGCTCATGACACACTCCACAACCTACAGGTATTCCTCCCAGACAATGGACTTCACCCTTCTGCTACGTATGCTCTTCATCCCCACCCCTCCAAGCTCTCCAGCCACCAGTGCAATTTCCCCCGCTGGCCAAAGGGAGAAAAACGCCTCCCTTCCTCAAACGCTGCTCTCACCTGCACCTCGGCCCAGTCTCTTCTTCCTGGTCTCCACCACCGCTGCAGGCTGAGGGAGGCCGGGGGTGGGAGGAAGCGGCAGCGACTGAATACTGCTTGGCTTATGCAACTGTGACAGCAGGTGGGGAGACTTGGGGGGCAGCGGAGGGGGCACGTCAGCACTGCTGAGAGCACTGTTAAAGCCTGGGGAGGGTGGAAAGGAGAGCCTGTTTGCGGTCAGGGAGTGCATGTGTGGTGGTGGTGGGGGCGGTGTGGGAGGTGGACAATCCCTTCCTTCAGATGGAGAGGAAGCAGCAGCAGAGAAATCGGTTGTCCTGCCCGGAAACCCACAGGGTGGCGCAAGGGGCAGGGGAGGAGGGGGGGGGGGGAGCGGGCGTGAAGCACCTGCTTGAAACTTAGGGGGTTTGTCAGCCTGGGGAGGAGGGGGCGGGG